GAGTCTGTTCTGACTCATTGTTGTTAGGTGCCATTCAGTTCATGCCTACTCATAGCGACCTCACACACAACAGAACAAAACACTGCTGGTCCTGTGCCAACCTTACAATCTTTGCTACACTTGAGCCTACTGCTGCTGCCACTGTGCCAATCCATCTCCTGGGGAGTCTTCCACTTGTTCGCTGACCCTCCACTTTACCAATCATGATGTCCTTTTCCAGGGACTGGTCCCTCCTGATAATATGTCCTAAGTATGAGAGATGAAGTCTGGTCATCCTGGTTTCTAAGCTACATTCTGTTTGTACTGTTTCCAGTACAGATTTGTTTGTTATTTGGGTTTGCCCAAGGTACTTTTAATATTCTCCTCCATCACCATAACTTTTTTCTTCAGTAGCATTGGCTCCTGATCATATGCTACCTATTTAAATGCTTGAACACTGACTATTTCTTTTTGGTACAGTGACCCTCTATCCTTTCCATCTGTTTCTTTTTTTTGGATGCTTTCTGCGTTATTCAATATTTTGCCCATTGTTGTTGTTAGGTGCCATCGAGTCGGTACCCACCCATAGAGACCTTATAGCAGAACAAAACACTGCCCGATCCTGGACCAACCTCATTACTGTTGCCACACTTGAGTCCATCGATGCTGCCACTTGGCCAATCCATCTCGTTGGGGGTCTTCCTCTGTTTCTCTGACCCTCCACCTTACCAAACATGATATCCTTCTCCAGCAACCGGTCCGTCCTGACAATATGTTCAAAGTATGAGAGACGATGTTTGGCCATCTTGGCCTCTAAGGAGCCCTCTGGCTGCACTTCTTCCAAAACGGATCTATTGGTTCTTTTGACAGCCCATGGCACTTTCAATATTCTCCTCCAACATCATAACTCAAAGGCATCAATTCTTCTACGGTCTTCCCATGGAATCCTTCAAATATTGCAAGATGAGGCTTGAATTTTTTCTTCAGTTTCCTCAGCTTGAGAAATGCTGACCTTGTGGCTAGCAGCCATTGTTGTTCCTTTTAAGTGCCAAGTGCAGTGGAGTTGGTTCCTACTCAGAGCGACCCTGAGGAGTGCCGAGCTTGTACTTCAAACCGACCTTGTGGTCCAGTGCGTATCCTACAACACCACACCGACACATGTTAATTTGGGGGATGGGGAAGGCAATATACAAGAGGGAGGTTTGCAGAGGAAAGAGAAAAAAATTACTAAAAAAGGAATGTTTTTTAAAAAATGTAGTATACAAAAACAAGGGGAGAAAGACAAAGCAAAATCCATATGCTAAATTCTGAGACCACTCATAAGGAACGTTTTGAGGGTGAGGGTCCTCGCTCTTTTGAGAGCAGGGGCCCTCTTTTTTAATCTCTGCGGCTCTTGCTTGGAGAAGATATTCTCCATTATAAGGCTTAACACGTAACATCCAGGGCTCTTAACAACTGTTGACTGAATGGCAGGAACCGTAAATCAGTGACTGGAAGGCAGAAGCTGGCCCCCAGATGGGCTGTAGGTTCAAAGAAGGCGACGAGGGAGCCAGGGAGGATTGGGGTGGGGATGCTGGAACTGAGCAGGAGGAATTTGACGGCCGCAACCCCACCCTCCCGATTCGTGTCATTCAGGCTCTGGAGAGTAAGGCGAGGTTTTCCGGGGAGGAGTCGGCTCCTTTCCTCTCTCGACGCAGCCCTCCCGGCGCGCCCCCTCCTGCCTGAGTTCCAAGGCGCTGGCTGCGGTGCTGAAACCTCCCTGTCACCCAGGACCGGGAGGCGGGCCGGGCGCGAGCGAAGGGGGCGGAGTTCTCTGGATCTGGGCTCTGGAAAGGGGGGCCAGGCGGCGCTAGCAGGCCTGAGACATTGGTGGACCTGAAAGGAGGCAGGAGACGGAGACGTGAGACAGGTTCAACTAGAGCAGTCCCAAGCACCTGGACAAGCTTTCCCTGAAGAGGTCAAGGCTCTCCCTGCCCTACCAATGTCCTTTCCCTTACCTTGACTGGATCCTCAGCCTCTTCCCCAGATCCAACTGAGCAGGGGCCTACTTCTGGCCTCCATCCACAAAGTCAAAGACTTCCAGCACTCAGACTCCCAGCCCAGGGCCTGTTGCCCTCACCATGGTGAAGTTGCTGCCTGCCCAGGAGGCAGCCAAGATCTATCATACCAACTATGTGCGGAACTCACGGGCCATTGGTGTCATGTGGGGCACGCTAACCATCTGCTTCTCTGTGTTGGTCATGGCTCTCTTCATTCAACCTTACTGGATCGGTGACAGCGTCAACACGCCCCAGGCAGGGTATTTCGGCCTTTTCTCCTACTGCACAGGCAATGTGCTGTCCTCGGAGCTCATCTGCAAGGGCGGCCCCTTGGACTTCTCCTCCATTCCCTCCAGAGCCTTCAAGACCGCCATGTTCTTTGTGGCCTTGGCCATGTTCCTCATCATTGGCTCCATCATCTGCTTCAGTCTGTTCTTCATCTGTAACACGGCCACGGTGTACAAGATCTGCGCATGGATGCAACTGGCTGCTGGTGAGCAGGGATGGTGGGAAGGCAGGCAGGGGCAGTGGGTCCCAAGAAATAAATGTGTTCCAGAGTCATTTTACTGAGCCAGACAAACATTTACATACATATAACACTTTACAAAGTACTTTCACATATATCATCTGGAAGAGCCTCACCACTACCCAGTGAAGTAGACAGTCCTTCCATTTTGTAGATAAGGCCCTGAGCAGGTAATTGGACTTTGAGCACAAAGTAATGAGGGACAGAATTTTTTTATTCCATATCTTGTGCCTGGGTCACTCGCCTGACTTCAGAGCTGTCCTCCCTCCCCCATCTCACACTCTCCTCTATGTTCTCTGTATGATGAGGGAGGGATTGGGGTGAGTGAGTCAAGTCTTGGAATGAGCAGTGGGAGGCAGTGGGGGTGACAGTGTTAGGGGAGAAGGGAACAGAAGATTTCACAGCTTTGCATTGATGAGGAGTAGAATGGACCCCGGAAGAGTGATGGAGGCGATCAGGATCATTCTCTATCCTGTCTTCCTACCACCATCAGTGAGGCAGTCCTTTGAGCTAAGGATTGCCTTGTTCCTATGACTACTCTTGGGAGGGTAACAGAGCCTCAGTAACCCATGGACTCTTAAGCCTGACTACACTTTCAAAAGAAATACCCTCTGGAGATTCTGATCCAGTATGTCTGGGCTATTCAGATAAATGAATTTATCACTTGCTTTTCTTTGGGATTGGTGAGGGCAGGCCTTGGGTAGCTGGGGAGGGGGAGGTTCTGAAAGGGACAGTCACTGAGGCAGAAATAGCTGCTCCAGGGAGAACATGATACTAATTTGCCAAGTCTAGGGTAGATTACGCTATAAGATAAGCTATGGATTACTAACAAGGTTAGTGGTTCAAATCCACCATCCACTGCTCGGAAATCTTATACAAGGTCACTATGAATGTGAACCAACTTGATGGCACTTAACAACAACAGGCTAGATGTATGGAGTTCTGGTGTGGCACTGTAGGATAAGCAGTTCAAACCCACTAGCTGCTCCTTGGAAATCCTATACAGGGTTGCTATGCGTTGGAACCAGCTTGACAGCATTTAACAACAGGGTAGATGTACAGGTGTCATCTATTGTTGTGACATGAAAATATTACTCTGTGTAGCTGAGGAATGAGTGTGACATCAGGGCCTTGAAAAGACTGGGGCTGAGGTGGATGTATGTGGATGTGTGTCTGTGTGTGGGAGGGTGCAGAGGGAAATTGAGGCCTGCAGATTAGTATTTCTCTCTCTCCCTCTATTGTCATCTCTCTTGTGAGATGTCCCTTGTCCACTCATCTTTGTATCTCCAGCACAGTGCCTGACACACAGAAGGTGCTTGGTATAATTTTTTCTCAAGTGAATTTAGGGTGAGATCAGGACTTTGTAAGTCAGGCTGAGGAATTTGAATGTGGTTTTCTGGGCAGTTGAAGGTCCTTGATCAAGACTGTGCTTTAGAACGTTGAGTGTTGGACAGGTGGGAAAAAGGGAGGGACTGGAGGTGAGCAGAGCCATCAGGAAACTATTGAATTGCAAGTGGGGAGAGTGTGGTCTGAGGCTCTAGGGAGGGGAGAGGAGAAAAGACAAGGAATGGGGCTGTGGGCATTGGTAGAGGGTGGGACCTGAAATCTATATCATCCCCCACCCACCCACCGACTCAGCTGTCATTTGCTGAGGGGGAAGGGGGACAGCAGACCATCTGAGTCAGGCTCCATCTGGGTCATGGAGCTGGAGACACTGAGAGTGGAGGTGACCAGATGCCGTCCTATGAAACATTGATGCTGAGGGAGGGTGGAGGTGGCATCATGTTCCATCCTACAGTGCTGGGGAAGGGAGGAGGATGAGCCAAAGGGAGAGAAGATGAGAGGGTTACCCACAGAGAGCAGCTGGGAGATGCATCCATTTGACAAGGTCTGTGTAGTGGTTACGAATCGGGCTGCGAACTGCAAGGTCAGCAGTTCGAAACTACCAGCTGCTCCACGGGAGAAAGAAGAGGCTTTCTGCTCCTGTAAAGATTTACAGCCTCGGAAACCCTGTTCAGGGTCGCTATGGGTTGGAACTGACTCAACAGCACTTAACAACAACAAAGTGAGATTGGAATCCTGGTGTGACGCTGTGGGTTAATGCGCTAGACTACAAGGTCAGTTTGAACTGCAAAGTTGACAGTTCAAGCTTACCAACCGTTCCTTGGAAACCCTATACAGGATGGCTATGAGTCAGAATCGACTCAACAGCACGTAACAAAGTGAGACTGGAGTTCTGGTGTGGCCTTATAGGATAAGCACTGGACCACTAACCATAAGGTTGACAGTGTAGGCCCACCAGCTGCTCCTTGGAAACCCTATACAGGATCGTTATGAATTGGAACTGACTTGATGGCACTTAATGATAATAAAGTGAGATTAATCTTTCCAAGAAGCCAAGACTGGAGAAGACGGGGAGAAAGGGGAAGTGGACTGCTGCTTGGCAGTGTGGGGCTGCAGGTAAACAACATTGGTGGAGTCGCTGAATGCCAGGGGTAAGTCCCATCCCCTAGGATCACAGGCAGGACAAGTTGCTTGTCTTCTCTACGCCTTGGTTACCTCATTGTGTGAGGACAGTGTGATATAATGCAAGTAAAACACTTGGCACGATGCCTAGCACATAGTAGAAGCTTGGCAATATAAAAAACACAGAAATCTACTCTATCAGTCAGGAGAGGGAAGGAGAAGCCACTAACAAACAACCTCCCAAACCTTAATGGCTTAAAACAAAGGTTTGTTTCTTCTCATGTGACATACCCAGTGAGGGTCAGCTGGTTCTGCCATTGTTTTTAGGTGCTGTTGAGTTGGTTCTGACTCATACAACCCCATGCACGACAGAAGCAAATACTGCCTGGTGCTGTGCCATCTTCATAATTGTTACATTTGAACCCATTGCTGCTGCCACCCCCATTTCGTTGGGAGGTCTCCCTCTTTGTTGCCGACCTTCCGCTGTCCCAAGCTTGATGTCCTTCTACTAATACCCCCAATTTTACAGATGAGAAAACCATAGCTAAGAAAGCTGAAGTGGCTTGCTCTGCGTCGTACAGCTGATTAGTGGAGAGCTAGGCTTCAAATCTGGCAGACGGGCCTAATGTTCCTCAGACTTTCTTATGGAGAGAATCACACTAATGGCGCTTGGTAACATCACAAATTCCTGAGCCCAGCCTAGACTTTCTGAAACTGAATCCACTGGAAAGATGCCTGGGAGCAACATTTTCCTTAGAACAAAGTTGAGAAGGCATAGGAAGGTAGGTGGAATGCAAATAAGAATCACAGGGAGGAAGCCTGATAACTGTTGTTACATGGAGAAGGTTGTAACCATTAAGATGAAACAAAGTGTCTGATTTGTTGAACGTAAAGCTGATGATCTAGTCTGTAAACCTTCACTCAATTCATAATAAAAAGTTTTTTTTTAAAAAAAGATGCCTGGTAGGCAGCATTTTAAACAAATTCGGGAAAGAGTGGGTAACTGCACTGTGCTGGCTTGGATAAGTGTAAGGATGGAGGCAATTGGTTTGCATGAGTAGCAGATTCATGTAGGAAGCAGCAAGCCATGGAGCTGAAAAGTCTCCTGTGTTCATCAAAGGAGATACTTGACTTGTGGGCCACATCATTATTTAATGTTCTGGTGAGGCACTATAGGATCAGCACTGGACTGCTAGCCGCAAGATCAGCAGATCAAGCCCACCAGCTTTAGAAACCCTATGCAGGGTTGCTATGAATCAGAACTGACTCGGTGGTACTTCACAAGAAGAAGAAAAAAGCGCTGCTGACCAAACTCAGACCTGACACTTTTTTATTTCCCTGATTTATGAGATCATTCTAGTTTCAGAGATGTTGAAATGCAAACAGATGTTCATTGCTTCAGAGCAGAGTTCTCTGGAGGACTCTGAAAGCAGGGTAGAGAGTGTCTGGTCAAGTCCAAGGAGAAGAAAGTGGCTGAGGGTCTGGTTGGACCGCCTGGTATGGTTGGAACCCTCCCAGGGCCTTTGCTCCTGACTACTGGTACCAGGAACAAGCCACTGTCGCTCTTGCAGCCTCAGCTTTCTCACCCACACTCTACAAGGATGGTGGCAGCTGTGCCTCTCAGAGGAGAGATGGCAGAGAACAGAGTGCAAGCAAACTTGGGAATCAGGGAGAGGTAGCAGATTGTGCTCACTGCCTAATGCCATCCACATCCCTTCTTGCCTTCTCAGCCACAGGTCTGGCGATTGGCTGCCTGGTCTACCCAGATGGTTGGGACTCAAGTGAGGTACGGCGCATGTGTGGGGAGAAGACCGGCAAGTACACACTGGGCCACTGCACCATCCGCTGGGCCTTCATGCTGGCCATCCTTAGCATCGGTGATGCCCTCATCCTCTCCTTCCTGGCCTTCGTGCTGGGCTACCGGCAGGACAAACTCCTCCCTGATGACTACAGGGCCGATGGAAATGGTAATCTACCCCTGCCCCCAGTGACCCCAGGCTGGGGTGGGGAGTTCCTCTCAGTCAGCCACCCAAGGCTTGGCCCCTGACCAAAGGGTGGGACTTCCAAGACCATTCAGACAGCCCTATCGTACCAGAGGCTGGAGGCCACTGGAGAAGTAAGGCTGTCTGTAATTGCAGGATGTACTTTCACATCTTCGGCCTGGAAGTCAAGTGAGGTCTCTCCTAGAAGGAAGCCCTGAGACTGGGTCTTGAAGTAACCATGGGGAGTTTGCTAGACAGAGGATGAATTGTGGGGAAGGAGAAGAGGGCTGTCTCTATCACTGTACAATTGATTCTGCAGCTCTTGACTCATGGGAACTATTAGAGGCTTGTTGGTAAGTGCTGTCAAGTAGGTTCTGACTCATAATGACCCTATATGAGGTTTCCGAGGAGCAGCTGGTGGGTTTGAACTGCTGACCTTGTGCTTTGTAGTCCATTGCTGATCCTACAGCACCACACCAGGAGTCTATTAGGGCCTAGTTCCCTTAAAGGAAAGCAAAATGGAACCAGTATTTGCAGAGCCTCTTCCACATGCAAGAATGTTACTATGAGTCAGAACCAACTCGACGGTTGTTGTTGTTGTTAAGTACCGTCGCGTTGGTTCCGACACAGAGCGACCCTGTATAGGGTTCCTGAGGAGCAGTTCCAACTGACTTTTCAGTGTAGCGCATTAATCCACAGAGTCACATCAGGACTCTTAACAACAACTAGTATCCAGAATATATAAAGAAGTCCTATAACTCAACAATAAAAAGAGAAGTAGCCCAATTTTTTTTAAATGGACAAAGGATTTGAACACACAGTTCTCAAAAAAGATAGACAAATAGCAAATAAGTACATGAAAAGAAAAGCACATTTGTCATCCGAAATACAAACCAAAGGCACATGGGTTAATGCACTGGACTGGAAAGTTGATTTGAATCATAAGGTTGGTGGTTCGAGCTCACCAGCCACACATCGGAAACCCTATACAGGTTCACTATGGGTCGGAACTGATGCAATAGCACTTAACAATAACCGCTAGGATGGCTAGAATAAAAAATAGAGACAATAATAAGTGTTGGTAAGGAAACAGAGAAATTGGAACCTTCATTCATTACTGGTGGGAATGTAAAATGGTACCACTGCTTTGCAAACAGTCTGGCAGGTCCTCAAAGGTTAAACAGAGAGTTAGCATGGTGGTAGTTGTGGTTATGTGCCATGGAGTCGGTTCCGACTCATAGCGACCCTGTACAGGGTTTCCAAGGCTGTAAATCTTTATGGGAGCAGAAAGCCTCATTTTTCTCCCATGTTAGCATATGACCCAGCAAATCCACTCCTGAAGACACAAAACTTGTATATAAATGCTCATAGCAGCATTATTCATAATAGCTAAAATGTGAAAACAAACCAAATGCCCATCAAGTGAAGAATGGAGAGATATAGTGTCTATGTCCATATGCTGTTGTTGTTGTTAGGTGTCATTGAGTTGGTTCTGACTCATAACGTCCCTCTATAGGGTTTTTAAAGAGTGGGCTGATGACTTTAAACTGACCTTTCAGTTCAGCACATTTAAACCACAGTGCCACACCAGGAATTCATGCAATGGGATATTATTCAGCCACAAAAAGGAATGAAGTACTGATACATGTCACAACATGGATGAACCCTGAATGTATTATGCTAAGTGAAAGAAGTCAGACAGAAAAGGCCATGTATTATATTATTTTCATTAAATATCCACAACAGACAAAAAGTAAAATAGTGGTAGGAAATACAATAAGTTTCCTTTCAGGGGGAAGAAACAGTTCTGGAATTCGATAGTACTTATAATTGTTCAACTCTGTAAATATACTGCGTTGTACACTTTGTTGGTGTTGTTAAGTGCCATCGAGTCAGTTCTGACTCATAGCACCCCTGTATAGGGTTTCCGAGGAGCAGCTGGTGGGTTTGAATCACTGACCTTGTGGCTAGCAGTCCGGTGCTTATACTACAGCACCACACCAGGACTCAATCATACACTTTACGTGAGTAAATTCTCTATTATGTTAATTATATCTCAATTGTAAAAATAAAGATTGTGCTAAGGTGTAGACTACATACATAAAGCCCTAACAATACCTGCACATGTCAGTGGTGTTAGTTCTCACCCCCCTACTGTCTTTTCGACATCTCCACCTTCTTTATATCATCCATCTGTCAATCACCACCAGCTAACGAGCTCTGGTAGCATGTTGTTGTTGTTGTTAAGTGCCGTCGAGTCAATTCCGACCCATAGCGACCCTGTACAGGGTTTCCGAGGGTGTAAATCTTTACGGGAGTAGAAAGCCTCATCTTTCTCCCGCGGAGCAGCTGGTAGTTTCGAACCGCTGACCTTAAGGTTCGCAGCCCGATTCGTAACCACTACGCTACAAATCGGGCTGCAAACCCAAGGTCAGCAGTTAGAAACTACCAGCTGTTCCGCAGGAGAAAAGATGAACCTTTCTGCTCCCATAAAGATTTACAGCCTCAGAAACCCTGTACATGGTCGCTATGAGTCAGAACCGACTCCACGGCACATAAGCACCAACCACCACCACCCGGGGTTCAGACATAGTTAGGCATTAGGGATATGAGTGAAGAAATCAATATAGGCATATACAGGCTGATGAACATCATGAACAAAAAGTACATGCTTTCATGAGAATGAATAAGAAGAATCTGATCTACGTGGGGGAGAAGTAAGAGCTCTGGTAGCGTAGTGGTTACGAATCAGGCTGTGAACCGTAAGGTAAGCAGTTCGAAACTACCAGCTGCTCCGCGGAAGAAAGATGAGGCTTTCGGCTCCTGTAAAGATTTACAGCCTTGGAAACCCTGTTCAGGGTCACATTGGGTCAGAACCGACTCGATGGCACTTAACAACAAACAACAATGGTAGTGTGTGGAGACTGATCCTACAACCATATACTTTTCTCTCCTTTTCCATGACAGAGGAAGTCTGAAGCAGCTGATGAGCCGGTGAGTAGTTGTATTGGAGAGTGGTCTGGGTGCCTCTAGAAACCGGCTGTAATGAATCCACAGGTGGGATGATTCTTGGGCTGGGCTGTAGGGGCTGCAATGGGTCTGGGAAGGAAGAAAGAGAGGTAACAAGAGTCCCCTGGCATCTGTGATCTTCACTAGGGGGTGCTGACAACCAGGAAGCTTTGACTTTTGCTTGGGTCCTGAGAAGTGGAACAGAGTAAAATAATGTAAACTAGGCAGGTGGCTAGTTTCATAAACTAGTTTCATAAACTGGGTGGAGCCTGGCAAATAAAAAACAGACTGTTTTTAAGTCAGTATTGTAATTTGGACCCTTATTTTCAAAAAGAACTTTAAATGATTTATAGGAGAAACTAAAAAACCAAAAATAGAAAGCAAAAGTCATAGAGGAAAACAAATATTCTGGGAAGCTAGGCTAATAGAATTGTTTGCTGCTGTTAAATGCTGTTGAGTCAGTTCCAACTCATAGCAACCCTGTATAGGAGTGGCTGGTGGATTTGAACTGCCAACCTTTTTGTTAGCTTATTCAATTTTAATGTCTAGTTCAAAAGGAAGCACAACATATATATTTCTTTATTATCTTTTAAGTTTCAAAAATGTGATTTAACAAGAACATTAAGGGACACAGTAAAGAAAAAAAGTCCACAACAGTACCATACAAAAACCCACTGCCGTTGAGTTCGGACTCATATTGACCCTTACAGGTCAGAATAGAACTGCCTCACAGGGTTTCCAAGGTTGGAATCCAGAGTGGCTAGTGGGTTAAAACCGTCGATTTTTCCAGTTAGCCACTGTGCCACCAGAACTCCTGTCCTTAATAATTGTTAAGTGCCATCGAGTCGCTTTCGACTCACAGTAATCCTGTATAACAGGGACAGGGACTTTTTATGCCAAAATGTACAGCATCATTTGCAGGCCATACAAAAACATCAGCTTAAAAGACTAGCCTGCTGTGTTTGGCCAGGAGTCCTGATGTGGTGCTGTTGGTTAATGTGCTGGACTGTAAAGTTGGTTTGCACCGCAAGGTTGGCGGTTCAAGCTCACCAACTGCTCTTCAGAAACCCTATACAGGGTCACTGTGAGTCAGAACTGGTTCAACAGCACTTAACAACAATAAGGTTGGCAGTCTGGACGTTCCCCCCTGCTGTATAGGGTTTTCTGAGGAGCAGCTAGTAGGTTTGAACTGCTGACCTTGTGGTTCCCAGTCCATGGTTTATCCTATAGTGCCACACCAGGAGTCTTTCTTCCTTAATTAATTAAGTAATTAGTTAAGTAATCTGGTTCTGACTCATAGTGACCCTATAGGGTTTCCAAGGAGCAACTGGTTGGTTTGAACTGCTGACCTGGAGGTTCAAATCAACCTGTGGTCCAGTGTATCATCCTGCAGCACCACACCAGGACTCCATATTTGCATGGGTTATTGTTGTTGTTAAGTGCTGTTGAGTCGATTCTGACCCATAGTGACCCTGTGTAGGGTTTCCAAGGAGCAGCTGGTGAACTTGAACCACCGACCTTGAAATTCAAACAGCTTTGCAGTCTGGCTCATTAGCCCATAGCACCATGGGTAGGAGGGACTATCTCCATTTAATGCCTTACTATTTTTGGAAAGTATGCTCTAATTTTCGACTATAAGGATACAGATACATTTTAAATCACTTACTAGAGCATGCTTTTCAAACTTTAGAGTGCCTATCTGGGGATCTTGTTAAATGCAGATTCTGATTCAGTTGGTGCTGGGGCTTGTAGGAGGCATTTCTCACCAGCTCCCTAGTGATGAGTTTCTTAAACAAACAAGGGGCACACTTTGAGGAGCAAAGTATTTAAATATAAACATGTTCTTGTGTTTTTGTAATGTTCGTTTTAAAAGTCACAATCGCCACAGCACTAGTTTACAATGAATTGTTGAACCAGACCTTGATTACTAGACATAACTAATCGCTTTTTGCATCTGCTGATAAAATTCCTGCACTGAACTGCTAAGTAACAGGGTAACTACCCCTCCATTCCACATCTCCCTCCCCCTTTGTAGGTATTACATTTATATAATTGA